ACCTGGAATAGCTTTTAACGACACTGCCTATTCTTTAAACTGGAGCCCAGTGTGGCTCAGTCTGATGCCATTTGGATTTCCTCTTTTTTCACATGGATGAGACCCCAAAAGAACTTTCAGCTGATGGATGGTATGAAAGACAATGCCTGTGCCCCCAAGTTATGTTGGGTGGAAATCCAGTCTTGGTTTCAGGGAGCAGGATGTGGATTTGGCAGTTCACTGCACTGTTGATCCATTCACCTGCGGATGGACATTTGGGCCGTGTCCAGTTTAGAGCAATCACAAACTGAGTGCTAGGAATGTTTTCTTTGCTTTTGGTGAATACCTAGGAGAGGAAGGTCTGTGTTTGGCTTGGCTTGGGTTTTGGTGCTGGGGATTGAACCTAGGGCCTCACATGTGGGGTATGTGCTCCACCTAGTTATGCCCTAAATTCTTTTTTTTTTTTTTTTTTTTTGGGTTTTTCTCCGGTACCGGGAACCGAACTCACGACCTTGCGCTTGCCAGGCAGGCGCTTTTGCTGCTGAGCTAAATCCCCAGCCCCCTATGCCCTAAATTCTTAAAGAAGCTGCTAAACTCTTGTGCAGAGAGGTTGTAACATTTTGCACTCCCACCGGCGCTAGATGAGCATTCCATTTCCTCTATAGCATCACCAATGCTCTAAAAATCAGTATTAATTTTAACCACTTTATTGGGTGAGTAATGGTATCTTACTGAAGTTTTAATTTGCATTTCCTTAATGTGTAGCGATGTTGAATATCTTCCCATGTGCTTATTTGCAAGTCATATCTCTTCATGAATATTTTGCTCAGGTCTTCTTGCCTCTTTCAAAATTGTTTTCTCATTGAGTTTTGAGAATTCTTTGTCATTTCTCAAACATATGACTTGCAAATATTTTCCCCTAGTTTGTAGCTTAGCTTTTTTTTTTTTTTTTTTGGTACCGGGAATTGAACTCATGACCTCAGGCTTGCCAGGCAAGTGCTTATGCCGCTGAGCTATATCCCTGGCCCCTGTAGCTTATCTTTTCACTCAGCTAACAGTATTTTTCAGAATAGGAGCTTTGAATTAAATCTAATTTATCAATTTTTTCTTTAATAGGTCATGATTTGGGTGTATTTAGAAAACCCTCGATTAACCAAAGGTTTTCTTGTCTTTTCTAGGAGTTAATAATTTTAAGTCTCACGTTTGGGTCTTGAATCCATTTTGAGTAAACTTTTGTATATGATGTGATCTGTGAGACAGTTTTTATTTCATATGGCAATGCAGTTGTTTCAGTACTATTTGTTGAAAAGACTATTTCTCTGCAAAAGAAGACAACACTGAGATTTTATCTCACCCCAGAAAGAATGGCTATCATCAAGAAATCAACTAATAACAAATGCTGGAGAGGCTGTGGGGAAAAGGAACACTTCTCCACTTTTGGTGGGAGTGTAGAGTGGTACAACCACTGTGGAGATCAGTCTGGAGATTCCTCAGTAAACTAGGTCTAGAGGTCCCATTCAACCCAGCTATTTCCCTTTTGGGTATTTTTCCAGAACTAAAAACATCATACCACCGCAATATATGTGCACCCATGTTTATAGCTGCACAATTTGTAATAGCTAAATCGTGGAAACAACCCAAATGTCCATCAACTGAGGAATGGATAAAAAAGATGTGGTATTTTTATATAATGGAATATTACTCAGCTATAAAGAAAGATAAACTCAAGGCTTTTATAGGTAAATGGACGCAACTAGAGACCATACTCATAAGTGAAATAAGTCAGACTCACCTGTGTAAACATCATATTGTCTCCCTAGTGTAAAAACCTGAAAAAATAAATGAAGATCTAAAATCCACAATAGATATTGTGAAAGGGAAAGAAACTACTCAAAAGGAAAGAATAACTGGGATGAGGGAAAAGAGAAAAGAAAAAAGGAAGCGAAAAAATATGAATATATATATACACAAAATAGTTACGATAATTGTACTACTAATTTCTACTGCTTTATTGAAAGGAACAGTTAATGTTTAATTGTTTGATCAATCTTACATGCCTATATTTGTTTATCTGAGTAACCAATTTGAAGATACCGATATGTAATACAACAATCACTGTTAATTTCCTATCACCTTGTCTGAAATTCTGCATTACTTTTATTGTTTTTATGCTGTTTTACTTATGTCCATGTGTTTGTTAATATGTTTTGGTTCTTTTATCTTTAAAATTAAAAAAAGACCATTTCTCCTTGGAGTTGCCTGGGTATCCCTGAAAACCTCAGTTGTTATGGATGTGTGGGTCTGTTTCGAGACTCTGCTTGAGTCATTTGTCCATGTTTAGGCCAATACTACGCACTCTGATTGCTGTGCTGTACAACACACCTTCAGATCAGGTAATCGGAGTCTTTCAATTGTTTCCCTTTTCAAGGTGGTTTTGACTGTGTAGATTTTGGCATCTCTGTGTGTATTTTAGAAACTTCTTGTCAGTTTACACGCACACACAGACCTTGTTGGGTTTTTGATTAGGAGTGTATTGAATCTATCAGTCGATTTTGGGAGGGTGACATCCTGACAATATCGAGTCTTTGATCCACCCACAGTGTGTATCTCTCCATTCACTGAAGTCTTGATTAATTTCTCTTGGCACTGTTTTGTGTTTTTAGCACACAGGCCTTGTACTTCATTTGTCAGATTTATCTTTAGGAACTTAAAAACTTTTGATGTCTGTGGCATTTAAAATTTTCAATTTCTGATCACTTGTTGCTACTACCCAAAAGAATAACTGATTTTTAGATACTGATATTAGGGGAAGAAAAAGGATTAAGATGTGACATATCCATGGACCAACTCCCCAAGATAAATGTACTCATGACCTATTAGAAGCATGTACTAATACAAAGATTCAAAAAATAGACATCGACCTTGCATTTTGCAACTTTATTAATCTTAGCTCTAGTAGATCTCTTCTGATTTTCTACATAGATCATCAAATTGTCAGAAAAGAGTTTTGTTTCTTTCCCACCTGGATGTCTTTTTGTTTTCGTCTTTTTATTTTATATTTTTCCATTTTGCTGCCTAAATCTCAGTACTACTCTTAGGCAGAAGTGATAAAAGTGTGAATTCATGCTTTGTTCACAACTATAATGGGAAAGAATTTGGTTCGCCATAAAATATGATATTGACTGTAGGTTTTGTAGGTGCCAATTGGTTGGTATTAAATCCTGCTCAGAGCTGCCTCCTAGTGGTCTCCATCACATCTATACGATTAGTATTATTCTGTCCCTTCATGAATTGTTTCCTTTATTGTTATGAAATGACTGCCTTTGTCCTTAGTAATATTATTTGCTCTGAAAGCTGTTTGCTATTAATACAGCTGCTCTGTCTTGGACTATCATGGAATCTTTCCTCACTATTTTAAATTTACTTTTTGTACTTTCATAAAGTGTGTCCTTCCTCCCTTCCTTCCTCCCTCCTTTCTTTCTCCCCTCCTCCCTCCTTCCCTTCCTTCCTCTCTGTGGTACTAGGGATTGAACCCAAGGCCTTTGCATCCAGCTACGTTCCCAGCCTCATTTTTTATTTTGAGATGAGGTCTCACTGAGTCGTTAGGTTTCCAAGGCTGGGCTTGAACAAATTGTGATCCTTCTGTGTTTCTTGCCACTATTGTGGGCCTGCCTCCTGGGGTTACTTTTTTACTCCTTTGTTCTTCTACGTTTCGTGTTTTTCTTCAAGCTCAGGAATCTTTTTTCATGTGTCATCTATTCAGTGAATTTTTCACATCACATGATGCAGAGAAGCTTGGTTTTAAAAAAATACATGTGATACTGTTGTAATAAACTAATGTCTTTGTCTTCCAGTTCTAACTTCTGGGTCAGTTTTAATTGATTTTCCTCTTCGGCGGTGCTTGTATTTCCTATGTGTTGGCATACCTGGCAATTTTTGATTGGAGGTCAGACTTCTCGAGTTTGGGTGCTGGCACATTTTATGTCCCATAAACATTCTTGAGCTTTATTACAGAAGCACAGTTAAGTTGCTTGAAGTCATTGGGTCCCTTCAGGTCTTGCTTTTTCGGATGAACTTAGCGTGGCATGAGGGTTTGATGTAATTCTCCCCCTTGCTGTGTGTACTACTCAAGGCCCCACTAATTCCCACCTGCACGGTGGGAGTCGGCAGTGCTGGCCTCTCCCCCGCCAGGTGGCTCTCTTCCGGGTCTCTGACGGCGTCCTTGAGCCGGTGCGCAGGTTGGGTTGTGTCGTCTCAGTGACACTGGCTGAGTTTTGAGCTCCACCTGCAGGAACGGGCTCTCATGGCTCTGCTGTGCAGGGCTACACTCAGCCTCCCTTGTGTCCCCGCGAGGCCACCCCCTGGGGCCTATCCCGTCTGTTGTCACCCAAGGCCAGCCTCTTGAAATTTTGTTTTTAAATGGACGGTGTTTTTGGTGGTTGTTACTGTTTCTCAGGAAGGAGCATAAATCTGGCTCCAGGAACTGCATCTTGGCCAAAAGGAGAAGTCTGGAGGCTCCTCTGAAATGTGTTTATTTCTCTCTGAATGCAGCAAGTGAAAGTATGTTAGGTCTACAGGTTAGGGTAGTGAGATGCTTTTGTGTATAAATAAAAGAACAACACCTGGACAGATACTTCAAGACACACCCACACACACACACAGAGTAAATCACTGCTCTGGGTAAATTCCAAACTCTCCCAGCAGGCTGCACTCTCTGAAAAGATCTCCATCAAAGAAAGTAAGAGAGAAACCATGACCGCCCAGGACATCAGGAAGAACTGTATAACTGCCTCAAACTTCCTCTTGCAATATCGTCTCCCTCTCTCCCTCCTTCTCTCTCTCTTTCTTTCTCTCTCTCTCTCTTGAAACTGTGATAGTTGGAATTAGCTTTGAAGTAACAGAGAAGTGTTTATGTTAGTAGTAGAAAACTTGATTTTAATTTGAGTTTAATTCACCTTTTATGTCAAAAGCTAACACAAAAGAGTAACACATTCAAGATTTCAAAATGCCCCCCTTTCAAAACCCACGCCCCATCCCTGAATGTTCTGCTTTCAGCAGACACTGGAAGATGACGAAACCAAGCTGCACCCTCAGAATTCTGCGGCTGACCACAGCGCCATGCAGGGTCGAGCCGCGTTTACGTCAGATCCGGGAAGAGGCAGGCTCAGGAGCTGCACTTCACTGCCTGGGCCCTCTGCTTGCTTGTCCTTGGTCTGTCTCCTCGGGGCAGCGAGGACCAGGGTAGATGCCAGGTCCTTCCTGCCATGCCTCTGCCTGCACTCTTGGCTTTTTGCTGGTCTCTACTGGGTTTCCTGAGGTCTTCCTCTGGCTCCTACCTCTGCCCAGCTGTGTCCCCTAGCTCTTCACATGATGACAGGCCCCGCCAGCACCAACTCTGCTGTGGAGTGAAGCGTTCTCTCCATCTCTCTTCAGGGACTCCTCTCCCCTGTGTGAAGTTCTTGGTGGCTTCCGCTCAAGGAGCTGCCTCTAGAAGACTCAATCTTGGCGCAGACCACGCACAGAGAGGGGAAGGCCTGGCCTCTCCACCGTGTGGGGCTGGAACACAGAGGGCAGGTTTCCAGGCTGGCCAGGCCTTGCCACGCCATAGGAGGGCCAGAGAGGGCCGGAGAGGGCCGGAGAGGGCACCTACTGGCAGAAGGGAGAAGAGAAGCAGACAGGAAGGCCCAGCCGCCCACCCTCTTCTGAGGGTGACCCTTCCCTGTGTCCTGATGGCCTTCCAAGACCCCTGAAGCTGCTCCACCAATCCCTCCCCTCCACCCCCTGCTTGTTTCTCATTCCAGACCCGCCTCACTTGGTTGTGCTCATGCGTGGGACTTGGACTCCATGGGAGTGGCTCCGGGTGTTACTGAGGGAAGTTATGTGCTGGAGAAGCGCTGCCCCACAGGAGTGGAGTGTGAGTCCCAGACGTCATGTGAAATGCTCTATATTTGAAAAAGTGACAAGAAACTGCTTGCACTCACTTTAACCATGTATTTTTAAATCCCATCTATGCAAGACATTAGCTTTTCAAACTATGGCTTGGGCCTTTAGGGTCCCCAGAGGCCCACGTGTGAATTCGATCTAGATTCCCAGAATGGTACTCGCCATCAGGAGGGGAGGAACCTTCACAGGTGGGCAGGGTGGAGAGCCCTGGGTCACTGAGAGAGTGCCCTGGGGACCAGGGGGCTGTCTCCTCGTGCTCTTGCTCTTGCTGCCTGGCCCTGAGGTGTGCAGCTCCTTCACCACATGCCACTGCCCCCCGGAGCCCCACCTAGAGGCCTACAGTGATGGGCTGGCTGACCACTGACTGGACCTCCAGAACTATGCACTCGTAAAACTTTTCCTTTATAAGCTCATTGCCTCAGATATTTCATTATAGTATCTGGACACTGACCAACATGGAATCAATTAAAAAATTGAAGAACCATTTTGCTGGGCTTTTTTCCAGTGCTGAGGACCATACCCAGGGCCCTTCCTATGCTAGGCAAGTGCCCTCCCGCCAAGTCATACCCTAAGCACCCACAGTTTTGTTCACTCTAAGTCTTAAGTCTCCTGGGTATTTTTACTTCCAGCACACCTCAACTTGGACTGGCCACATTGCAAGTGTTTCATAACCGCATGTGGCCAATGGCTACAGACCACACAGTTCAGTGGCTGGGTCTAACTGACAGGAAGGGAAATTGCCACACCTAACTGAGAGGCATTGTTTTAGGACATGTGGGGCTCCATGTAACTGTCATAGCTGACACCACAAAAGAGGGCATCAACAACCCCCCTCCAAGGTGGGCTCTTTAACAGGAAGGAATATAGCCCAAACGAAGGGCATAGCTGAGGTCGGCACTCACTACTTTACAGGTTCAAACAAGGTCAGCTGTGTGTCTGCAGTCTAGGACTGTGCTGCAGCTGGGATGTAGAATAGGAACATTCTCCACATTTTCAGACATTTCTGTCTCTTGAGGGCAAGAGACGTTGATCAGGACCACCCAGCCCTCTGAGCTAAGTGTCACAGAGGAAAGGAGCCCAGGCAGTACGAGCTGATTCTGGGCGTCGATCTAGGAGTTCAGGAGACGCTTTCCTGTGGAGGACATTTGAGCTGAGATCAGAAACGTAAAAGTGCTTAGAGACAAAAAGAAGAGGAAGCAAAGGTGGCAGCAGACAGGTGACTTCTGATGCCACAGGAGGGGCAGGAGGGAGAAAGGAGGGAAGGAGGAAGGAAAAGAGGGAAGGAGGGAGAGAGTGTCCGATCACATTGCCGGTTTTTACCTTTATCCCCTCTCTCTGGGAAACCAGGCAGGAGGCCACAGCACTTGTGTCCACCAGAGGCCACAGTGGTCCACATCATTGCAGTGCCTGTACAGGTGGAGAGAGCCAGGCAACATGGAGAAGGTAGGAAGGTAGGAGACAAGGCTTTGTCATGGGGCATGGGGTGGTTTCCCTCATTGCCCTGACTGGAGAGGAAGGCACTAGTGTGGAAATATCAGGGAGGGTGTTAGGCAGTTTTTTGTGACTAAAACAAAATAGTTGGGGTTGGGTGCTTCATAAACAAGAGAGGTTTCTTTAGCTCAGTTTTGGGGGCTGACAGTCCACAAACCTTGCTGGCTTTCATGAGGCCCTCTGGCGGTGTCACATCACGGTGGATAGCATCACAAGAGGATTGTGAGTGAAGGGAGCCTCCACGGGGATGAAGCAAATCAGTGTGGGAAGGCCGGCTCCATCTCAGCCACCTCAGTCCCTCTGAGGGCAGCACCTTGGCTGACCTAGTGACCTCCCCATGACCTTTGACCTGATGACTTCCCTCTGAGCTTTGACCTGGTGACCTCCCTCTGGCCTCTCCTCTTAAACTTCCCACCACCTCTCATGTCACCATGCTGGGGACCAAACTTCCAACACATGACCCGTGTCCACACCACAGGAAGTAGGTAAATATGAGGGCCTGGGGCTCTAAGGAAAGGTCAAAGATTTGAAATCCCCTGTGTAGACTCCATTCTCTGGCCTAACTCCCAGGGATGCCACGAACATGCTGGCCCTGCTCAATGCCCGTCTCTCTCTGCCCTTGACAGTAGCCCCCGACCTCTCCTGTAGAACTGTCACCTCCTGCAGGGGTGCCTTTCCCAACCCCTTTGATGTAGCTGCACTCACAGCACCACGACCTCAGCTTTCTGCTGGCTGGAGCAGTGACCAATAGCAGTTTTTCGCTGATTTGCATCTTATAGGATTAACAACTGACTCTGTCACTAGACTAGAAGACCAGGACCAGATCTTCTTTTTTTTTCCAGACTTTTTAAAGCAATTTAAGTTCACAGAAAACTGAGCAGAGAGTACAGAAATTCCCATATTACCCCAGCACCACACACACACACACACACAAATACACAGCCTCCCCCATCACACCACCACGAGTGGTCTACTTGTTTTGTTTTGTTTTTGAGAAAAGCACTCCCTATGTAATTCAGGCTGGCCTATATAGCCCAGGATGGCCTCAAACTCACAGCAATCCTCCTGCTTCAGCCTCCTGAGTATGAATCCTACATGTCATAGCTTTTCCCCATTGGCTTCTTTCAGTTCCTAAAGTACAAGTAAGTTTCCTCTCAGGTCTTTTCCTGGCTTAAAATAGGTCCTTGCCCATCTTTACACAAGATCTCTCAGGGCGGGTTCTTTGTGGATTCCATTCTATTCAGCCCAAGTACCTCTGTCTGAGAGTACACTTAGGAGGAGCTTAGCAGGTGCTTACTAAGCACAGAAACAAGCAGGAGGAAAGTGGCCGCTCTGGGTGGAGATCAGTGCTCTACAAGGAAAGCACAGGCGTGACGAAGATATTAAGGATTCCACTCACTTTGAAAAACCACCAAACGGCCACCAAACATAAGAACACAGGCTTAACTCCCCAGAAAAAGGCACACAAGAGCCGTGCTGACATCCGAGTACACACCCTCGGGATGTCCAAGGGGTGAGGAAGAGGACCCTGCAACACAGCGGAGCAACTGGAATGTTGCACTCTCCCGAGGGAGTGGAACGCCACACAGCTGATTTGGAAAACAGTTTTTTGGCATCAGCTAAGACCAGATCCATCCCCATTTCATGAGGTAACAATTCTGTCTGCACATATACAGCTCTATGATTCTATTTATACAAAAATTTAAACTAATCTATTGCATGGAGAGCTGCTCTTGGAGTGGGGCCAGGCTTCCGAGACCGGTATTTCCTGCTCTGGCACTGGTTTTATGACTGACTTGAATTTGGGATGACTCATCTGGCTGCGCATTTTACAGTCTGAGCTTTTCTGAGTGCTTATATCTTACTGACAAACTTATTTAGAAAGAAAAAAGGTAAGTATGTTTGGAATCTCCCAAAACGAAACAGACAAGCTGTCCTCCTCGCCTTCCTGCATCCAAGAGCAGAGCTCACGGCCAGGGTAAGAGCAAGTACAGAAGGAACCAGATAGTTTTGTTCCCAAACGTTAAGTATTGGAGTTACCTCTTTACAAAACCTTGTCACATAGTTTAAGCTCTGCTGCTTTAATTTGGAGCCTAACAATGTCACCAAGAAGATAATCAAGGGGCTGAAGATGTAGCTTAGTGGCGGAGGGCTTGCCTGCCAGTGTGAGGCCCTGAGTTCAACTCTGCACACTGCAGAACAAAACAAAAAACAAAGAAGAAACTTACTTGACGATCATGAAGCGATTAGACATATTTGGGGAAGGAATTAAGATCTCTAATAAATCAGGAGAGAAAATACTTGAGCAAGCTGTGTGTGGTGGCACATGGCTATAAATCTCAGAGCTCTGGGAGGCTGAAGCAGGAGGATCACAAATTTGAGATCCATCTGTACAACTTAGCAGGACTCTGTCTCAAAATAAAAAAAACGAAAGTAGGATTGGAATCTAACTCAGGACTGGGGATCTAACTCCGTGCAAAGGCAAAAGGCGGGGGTGGGGCACCCTGGCATCCCAGCTGTTATCGATTCTTATCCGCAGAACTCTACCATCCAAGACAGTTAATTATGAGATACAAACAGCACAATCTATTTGCCTGACGAAATACACTGGCTTTTGCAAATCTGTCACTGTTGATGAATGGCTGTCGCCGGAGCATGAGCTGACAGCTCAGAGTCCTGTGAGGCTCCCACCGCAGAGCCCGGCCGGGGCACATCACTGTCCCAAAGCAGGTTTGTTTCTCACAAACTCCTTCTCTCCCTGCGGGGAGGCTGCTGAGTGAGCTCGGGACGATGGAACCGGTCAAATAAACGGACACCGCACCGGACAAGGGAACGTAACAGACCAAAAGACGCCAGACTCCAGTGCAGGGAGACGCTGGTGGCCGTGCCTGCTCTTCAGTGTGGCCCTGGGGTCGCCAAGAGCACCCGCGAGCCCAGCACGCTCCTTTGCTTCTTTCGGGAGCCTTTGCCGGCGGCGGGCTGGGGGTGACGGAGCCGGGGCGGCGCTCAGTGCAACTATCCTTGCTTCTCTCATCTTCATGGGGAAGTATGGGGAACACTCACCAAAATGTACAGTTTTTTATGTTATTTTACTTATTTTTATTTTAAAGAGAAAAAAAGAAAAGAATACAGAATTTCAAAACAAGATAATAGGAAATTAACAATGGTTAATATATTGCATATTATCTTCAAAGTAGTTGCTCAGATTATAAGACACAGGCATGCAAAATTGATCAAACCATGTAAGCACAGTTTTTTCCGTTTTTTTTTTTTTTTTTTTTTTTGGTGGGGGGTTTTCTCCGGTACCGGGAACCGAACTCACGACCTTGCGCTTGCCAGGCAGGCGCTTTTGCCGCTGAGCTAAATCCCCAGCCCCAACCACAGTTTTTTTCAATGAACTAAAAGAAGTCAGCAGTAGAACTATCTTATGTAAATATATATATATATATACATATTTTATTTTCTATTTTTCTCCTTTCACCCATGCCAGTTGTTCTTTCTTTTTGAGCAGTTTATTTTCCATGCACAATTTTATTGGAGATTTTGGGTCTTATTTAATTTTTCAGTTTTTTACACTAGGGAGACAATACGATGTTTACACAGGTGAATTTGATTTATTTCACTTATGAATGTGGTCTCTAGTTGCATCCATTTACCTATAAAAGCCTCAAGTTTGTCCTTCTTTATAGCTGAGTAATACTCCATTGTATAAAAATACCACATCTTTTTTTATCCGTTCCTCAGCTGATGGGCATCTGGGTTGTTTCTAAGATTTAGCCATGACAAATTGCACTGCTATAAACATGGGTGCACACATATTGCTGTGGTATGATGTTATTAATTCTTCTGGGAAAATACCCAGAAGGGGAGTAGCTAGGTTGAATGGGACCTCTAATCTTAGTTTTTTGAGGACCCTCCACACTGATTTCCACAGTGGTTGCACAGACTGGTGCAGACTGGCACTCCTAGCAACAGTGGAGAAGAGTTCCTTTTTCCCCACAGCCCCTCCAGCATTTGTTATTGGTTGATTTCTTGATGACAGCCATTCTCTCTGGAATGAGATGGAATCTCAGTGTTGTTTAAATTTGCATTTCTTGAAAGACCAATGATGCTGAACATTTTTTCATCTATTTATTTGCCATTTGTATTTCTCCATCTGAGAGGTGTGTGTTCATCTCAGACCCCCATTTCTGGACTGGGTCTTGAATTTGGGGGCTCTGGGTTTTTTCAGCTCTTTTTGAGGGGGATTCACGGCAATGTGGCTTCACTGTGATCAATGTTTACTCTAACCGTTCACCATATACTTTGATTGCACCGCACGCATACACCGTAGAATGGCTAGTCAGGCTAATTAACGTGAGCATGGCCTCAAATAACCTTGCTGGTAGAGGTAGAATTCCTGGCACCCAAAATCAGGGAAGGGAAGGTTTATTTAGCTCACAGTTTGTGGAGGTGGCAGTCCATAATCAGCTGGCTCCAAGGCAGAGTGGCACATGGCAGAGGGCAACAGTTCATGGTAGCAGAAGACAGCAAAAGCAGCAAGAGCACAAGGGGGAAAGCCAGCCTCTTCTCCCTTATACTGTATGCCAGCTGTCTGCCCACACCATCTCCGTGCTGTCCTCTCCCACAGGCTCAGGATGTTTACAAAGTGAGGACCCTGGCCCTCTGCTGAGTCACTCGGTTAAGCTTCTAAACCCCTCAGTTCTCAAGTTGACTCGATGTATCAGTCATTACACGGGGCGTCTGAAGTCAGCTCCGAGGTGTCTGAGCATGGTGCACGCTGCTAACTAGTCACCACACCACAGCCACCCCTCGGCCACCTTGTCCTTGCCACACGGTGGGCAGGCAGCCGCTGCCGAGGTCACTGGCCCTGTGTCCCCTACCTCCCCACAGGGACGCACAGGGCCATTTCTCCTGATGGGTGGCGCCCAGCCTTAGCTCCAAGTACAGTGGGGACAAGGACAGCGAAGTCACTCAGGCCCTCTCTGGACAGCGCCCCATGGCTAAGTCTCCACCCTCTGTCGCCCTACCCTTCCACTCTGCCTGTGCCCCCACTCCAGCACTTCAGAACCTCAGGTGTCCCCCCACGTGACGCAAGGTGCAGACATACTGGAAATAAGCTGAACAGCGGGCCTCCCCAGGAGGGACCGTGCTGGCAATGGCCAGGGGTCGCTGCTCCCCTCCCCCAGGTCCTTGATTCCCCAAGCCTTCCTGAAGCTGGCCGCGGGTCCCCGGGTGGGTGCGGTGTGGTCTGGGGCTGCGCTGAGCCTGCATCCTGCTGCTAATCACGGGGTACCACAGGCAGGTGGGGGGGAGCAATGGCGACTGTCCCGGGCACTGCTCCGGTCCAAGGTCGAGGGGCTACCCTGGTGATGGCCTCGCTGGCAGACGCCTGCGGTGGCTCAGGACGGCGCACGGTGTGGGACAGGGAGATGCTCCGGTCCCTGTCCCTCCTCCCCTTCTTCGTCTTCTCTGTGTGCCGTACTGGGGATGGAACCCAAGGTGTTCCCGCTGAGTTGCATCCCCAGGCCTTTTAATTTGGGGGATTTTAAAAACATTTCTATTTATTTATTTATTGTTTTTGTCTTTTTGAGACAAGGTCTCACTATGCAGTTCAGGCTGGCCTTGAGCTCTCTTTGTAGCCCAGGCTGGTCTCAAACTTGCAATGATCCTCTTGCCTCAGCCCCCAAGTGCTGAGATTACAGGTGTGCGCCACCACGCCTGGCTTATTTCTTATTTTGGGATAGTGTCTTGCTGAGTTTCCCAGGCTGGGCTCACATTTGTAGTCCTCCTGCCTCAGCTTCCCAGAATGCTAGTAACACAGGTGTGCGCCGTCACCATTCCCTGGTTAGCTCTCTTCTTTCCAAGCCGCCAGGATTCACCCTGTTTTAATCTCATCTCCTCCCCAAGGCCCCTGCCTCCAAACATCTGGATTAACTTTTTTCGGGGGGTGCAAGACTCAGGCCTCCAACGTGCCAGGTGAGAGCTGTGCCCTGAAGGGACATTCCCAGCTGCTTCCCTCTGAATGCCTCCCTGTGGGGAGAAATGTCAGCATAGGGAGACATGCCACAAATCTCTTCAGACCAGAGCCTCCGCCAGGCCGCACCATTGTGGGATGGCCTTGGGGTCCCAGGGAGAGTGCAGCTGTCCCCTATAGCCACAGGAGCAGGGCAGGGCAGGAAGGCCGCACGAGAGACTGCTGTGTCTTCAGATTGGCCCAGACCCTGCCTCAGCTCCAGCCTTGGAGATGCTGGGCGGCCTTTCGGGCCAGACATTACCCACGTCTGCCCATGGCCGGATTGGAAGAGGCCGGGGGTGAGGGTGGGGGTGACACTCACTGCTGCCTCCCTTGGGTGGACTGAGTGTCCCCAAGGCTAGGGTCTTTCTGAGTGGGCAGAGGGACTCTGGGCGGCTCGAGCTCTGCAGGCATGGCAGGGAGAGAGGTACAGGGGTCCCTGCCTCCCATCCGGTCCTGGCTTCCTGCTCGCCTTGTCCCTGGGGGCCTCGAGCTGGCCTCTGCTGCAGAGGGCTGGGGATGGGGCCTGGGCTCGGAGCCATGGGCTCAGCGTCCCCCCAGGGCTCCAGGCCGCCTGCGTGGCTCTACGTACCACAGCAGTGAGCCACAGCTTCTCCGCCAAGTCCTTATGGGTCCTCCTCAGCCCCACGGGAGGCTTCTGCTCTGCTCTCGCTTTCTCAGCCCGCTGCCTGGTTTCCTTGGCTTTGGTTCTGGCACAGGAAGGAAGTGTGGCCAGAGCTGCCCTGGACAGCAGAAGCCGGGTCCCCAGCCGTCCCAGAGCCGCCCCGGATGCCTGTGGTGCAGCAGGAAGGAAGGAGGAGAGAAGGCAGTCCAGACCTCCCCAGTCATAAGAGACAGCATACTTCGCTCCCGGGCGGGAAGGACGCAGACTCAGGATGGTATAACTGGGTGCAGTGAGCGTCAAGGAAAACTTGTCCCAGTAGCTTGCTGTTGTTACAGCACCGGGGATTGGACCAGTCTTCTCGGTGAGCTATATGCCCAGCCATTTTAAAATTTTATTTTCTATTCAGAGACAGGGTCTAGCTGAGCTGCTTAGTCTCCCAGGCTGGGCCTGACCTTGGGGTCCTGCTGGCTCAACCTCCTAGAGCGCTGGGATGACAGGAGTGCTCTCCCAGGCCTGGTGACAATGCCTTTTCCCCCTCAGCTTGCTGTGGTTGAAGGCAGAGTGGCACAGGCGCCCGAAGCAGATCTGTGGCGATGAGCCCTGCAAAGCGGGAGGAAGGCTGGAGCCGCCCTGTGGGCTGGAGCCACCCTCAGGGTGCTCCCCCGGCCTCACCTTGGCGGATAGAGCGCATAAATGACACAGCTTAGGGGCTGACCTTGGGGCTCAGACAGCCTCACAGCAGGAAAGAGTCCTCTCCCACAGCCATGCTAACTTCTGGTGGGCAGTAAACGGAGAGGCGGAAGTGAGCTGAAGGAAGTAGCCTACGAGGCAGGCGTGGTGGTGAATGCACTTTCGGAGCCCAGCCTGGACAACTTCATGACTCAGGGAGAGCCTGTCTCAAAAAAAAAAAAAAAAAAAAAAAAAGAAATTGAAAAAGGCTGAGGATGTAGCTCTGTGTGAAACCTTCGAGTTCAATCCCCAGTAATAATAAATTTTAAAAAAGGAAGGCAAGAGGAGAGTAGCAGTCAAAGCAGACTCTGGGGAGCTGTCATGGTTCGGGGTTTTACAAGGGGAACAATACAATACAGGACACATATTTTATAAGATTATTAATAATAGTCCCTCAAAGAGTCATATACAAGAGAGTGCAGGAAATCTGTCCACACATTGATGACCAAAGAATCCAGCTGACGGCCTGGATCCCACGCCAGTGTCCTGCATGAGTCCAGCTGGAGGCCTGGGGCCCATGACAACGTCTCATGCAGGCCTGTTTCTCAGATCTGCACTGGGAAGGTCAATGGTGGAAGCTAGCAAGTCTGTGCCAGCAGGATGAAGGATCTGTGCTAGCAGGCTGAGGGATCTACACTGGAGCCAGGAAGCAACGCTCAAAGTAAGAACCAGAGCTCCCCTGAAAGGTACCACAGCCACCCTCAGCAACAGTGAGGTCCCGAGCTCCTCCGATGATCAAGATGGCCGAGTTCCCATCAGGTAAACCAATGTAGTGAGATTCTCCAGGAGACTGAGCAGTGCACCGTCTTCCCCTCCAGGGCCAGGAAGCCATACTCAAAGTGAGGACCAGAGCTCCCCCAAAATGAACCAAAGCCATTCTGTGACAGTGAGGTCCTGAACTCCTCAGATGATAAGAACAGCCGAGTTCATCAGGAAAGCCAGCATGACGAGCTCCTCCGGGGAACCAACAGCTCCCTACAGCCTCTCTTCTTTCTCTCCAGTTCTGCCTCTTATGCTGCTGGCAACAACCCTCAGGAGGGCCTCCCACACCCAGCACCATGCTAGTTTAGTCCAGCTGAGTGTTACAGGTTGACCACCAGTTGTCAACCCACCACAGGTGCGCTGTGACTTAGACCAATGGCTTCATACTTTAGTACAAGCAGACTCATAAGAGCTCCTCGTAGGGCCTGGGGATTTATCTCAGCAACACAGCGCCTGCCTGGCAAGAGCAAGGTCGTGAGTTCGGTTCCCGGTACCAGAAACACCCCACCCCCCGCAAAAAAAAAAGAGTAGAGAGCTGCTCCTCAACCCCCCGTTGCTGCTTTGGGAGTGAGGGAGCAGCTTGCAAGGCTGAGATGATACCGGAATCCAACCTGGGCTTGTGCTTTGAGAGCCTGCCATTTGGACATCCGGTGACTTGGGCTTCAGCCAGGTGCAGAGCTGAGAAAGCAGCGTGGGTTGTGCAACACAGAAGGGCGGGCAGACTCAGCGAGTGGGTAAGGCCATGTGCACCCATCAGCTTTGCATCACTGGGGCCAAATCCTGACCTCCAGAAGTTAAAGGAGAAGTTCAGCTTGGCTCACGGCTTCTAAGGGTCAGTCCATGGGGAGCTGCTCCAAGGCATAAACATCATGGCTGAAGGGCACAGTGGAGAAAGGGAGCTCACGTCATGCCAGCCAGGGAGAGGAGAGAGAGAGGCTGGGGACAAGAGTGCACCCTTCCAGGTCACTTCCTCTGACCAGGCCTCATCTGGGGCAGCTTGTTCAGCTGTGAACTCATCTAAATGGGCCAATCCACTGGTGATCAGTGCCCTGTGATCCCGTCACGTTCCAAAGGCCCTGCCTCTGAACACTCAAGGCTGTGGTGGGGCAGTTTTTGTCCAAGCCACACAGAAGAGTTTGGACTTCAATTGGATAGGCAACAGGGAGCTGTAGAAGAGTGAAATGTAAAACTGTAACAGCTAAAAAGCAGCAGAGTGCTGATAAACATGCTACCCCCGGAGGGACCCTGAAATCACCCTGAGAGAAAGAAGCCAGACACAAAGGGGCACCTACTGTGTGATTCCATCCATGTGAAGTAGCTCACTGTAATGATTTCATGGAGATGGAAGACAGATTCGTGGCCGCCAGGTGCTGGGGGATAGGAACAGCGATGGGGGCTGGCTGCAGAGGGACATAAAGTTTCCTTTTGGGACGGTGAGACTATTCTAGAACTAGACAGAAGCGATAATTGTACAACACTAAGTCTACTAGATGTCACTAATGGTTTGTGTATTTTACTAAAGTAAAAAGTAGATTGTGTGTGTGTGTGTGTGCATGTGTGTTTCTTTCAGAGGATCTTGCTATGCAGTCCAGGCTGGCCTTGAATGTGTAGCAATCCTCTTGCCTCAGCCTCCTGAGTGCTAGGATTACAGGTGTGTGCTATCACACCTGGCAATAACAAATATATTCATGACAAAGTTTGGTTACACCACAAGAAATACTTGAGATGCAGTGTTGAGAGATAAAGATACAAAACTGTATATGGAGAATGGTTATAGCTATATTAAGATGCAACTTTATATATAGAAAGAAGACTAGTCAGGCATGGTAGTGCCCACCTATAACCCCACACTCCAGAAGCTGGGCAGGAGGAGTGAAAGTTCAAGCCCAGTTTGGGCAATCTTGGAGTTTAGGGAGACTCTGTCTTGAAATATAAAAAGAAATGTAAAAGTCTGGGGATGTAGCTTAGTGTGAAGACTCTGAGTTCAATCCCTTGTACCATCAAAAAAAGAGCAGAAATAATGTCCTCTAATAAATCTTGGCTCTGTGGTGTGTGTGTGTGTGTGTACGCGCACGCGCGCACGTGCGCACGCATGTCTGTGTCTGTGTGTGTGTAGTATGCATATATCCTGGTGAAAATAATGTGACTTCTATCAGACTTTGCCTAATTGTCAATTACTAAGCAGATATTACTTCCATAATTTTAAAAATGTTTTAGAAGAGGAGAAACGCACTTTGATGTGACAGCCTCACACAGGACAGCTGAGTGTGGTGAGCAGGGTGTGACCTGTGACTCAGGTGTGGGATGGGGCAGGGTCTGCCTTGGTGACTGATGGGCAGCAGTGTGGCTGGCAGTGGCACTGGCCCTGACCAGGTGTCTCGACTGCCCTGGCCCAGCCGGGCACTGTGGTCACCCAGGGGCCTCCCTCTGGGAACTAGTTTGTCTTCTTTGTTCCTCTCTGTGTTTTTATCCACCCAACAGCCTGTCCCCAGACTCACCCATCCATCCCACGTGTCCCCCACAACCTTGCACCAGCATCTCTGTGCAGAGCTGCAGTGCCACCACCCACAGTCTCTCCTTGTGGCCTGGTGACCACAGCCACCTTGTGTTCCTCTCGGCCCTGGCCTTGGTGTGGCCCTCCCTTCAGTGTCCTGAATACAGATTAATAGTAACAGGTCTCTTCTTTCTGGATCACATCCCTGAGGCAGGCTCCATGGTGCAGGCCAGACAAGGGCCAGACCTGCTAGCCACATGGCCACTGGGTCCCTGCCTACCCCATGTGTTGGCCTTGTTATTCCCTTCTCAGCTGCCACCTCAGCTGTTTCTCCACCAGCTCTGCCTTCTGTGTCTACCACAGCTTAGTCACATCTCTGCTTCTGTCCAGGGTCTGTCAACCTGGGTGTTTGTTACCCATTACACCCTCTCCTTGCCCCACAAATGTGGTTTGACCTGATGGAGATGAAGCAGCTTTGAGCAGGACTTAATATTAACCAATTGGCTTTCCATATTTACATGTGAGTTTGCCCGAGATGTAGGCCCTTGTCTGGAGATGGGCAGCGAACTCATAGTAAGTGAACCTCTATGAGTCACTGGTCCCCACTGAGACCTGTATTGGCCTGTAAAGTTGGGATGCCTCAAAAGACAAAGGCCACAGCTGAGGACGTTTGGCTCCAACCCCAGTTAACTAAGAGGAGACTGCAGCTCCAGGCATCTCATTCCTGCAGTGAAGGCCTTCCTGGAGCTAACTTAGTTCTCCTAAATTAACATAAAGTATTACCTACAGAAGTCCTTAAAGAGTTTCCCAAGTCCTGCCCAGATTCCTGCATTTTCTTCAGTATCCTCCTCCTTTGTTTGAAAACCAAATGCATATGGGCAGCCCAGGGAAGTTCTTCGTCTTAACACAGAGAATCTCAAATTCTGTGAGAGAGTTGGACCCTCCTGGAGCCCTAAGATCATTCCAGTTGTCTCATTTACTTAAGCCTTTGCCATCCACTTGTTTGGGAGATTGTGGGCCTGACCAGCCCACAATAACTAAGGGTTATTAACCTGATATTGACCAATACCAAACATTCTCCTGTGGTCCCAGCAAGAGAAGGCAGGGACTTCCTGGCACTGGGGCTCCTTGTCCACCATGACATCTCCAGCTGCTGGCCTGGATTCCACACAGAGAGGGCCTGGGTCCTGCTCGGGTATCGGAGTCTGAACCACAGTGTGTGCTGCAGAGTGGATTCAGGGCAAGGGCTTGTCCTCATCTGAGTTCTCTGGAGACACAAAAACCAATGAGAGATAGATCTGACCACACGTCTGGGTATAGTGGTGTAGCCAAGTTCTCACATAAAATGAATCCTCACAAGTGTTGTTGGCTTTGGTGTTTTCTCTTTAGCGCTGAACTCCAGGGCACTGAGAACAATATGGATGAGTAGGAAATGTGTTTCATGGACAGGATCTCTTGTGGTCGACGAATGTTATTTTTCACCTCTGGGAGAGAGTTCTCACTCCTGCAGAAAATGCAAAAACGTGAAGGTTACTGTTCGGCAGCCTTCCAGTTAGCAGGGAGAAATCAGATCTGTCCTGAGCTAGTGGGTGGGATTACAGCAATCAGCATCGACTTGTCCCTCTTTGCAACTAACTCCCGATCCTCTACTTCAGCTCTGATTTCTACTTATGTATTTATTTATTTTTGGTACTGGGGATTGAACCCCGGCACTGTGCTACATCCCTAGCCTTCTTCCAAACAACACTAACCCCCACCCTTTTTCTGGGAGACAAAGTCTTGCTAAATTCTCCAAGTCCTCCTGCCTCAGCCTCCCAGGGTGCTAGGCTTACTGGTGTGCACCACCGTACCTACCTTAGCTCTGTTGTTTTATTTCCCACGCTGCTCAACATTTTCACCTTCCCAGTCCTGCCATTGTCTCAAACTAAAAGCTACAGTTCACTACATGGTGTGAGAAACTCATGCTGCTTCCGGAATGTCTGGGCTCGAGCCCCAGCCGTGGCTCAGGTGGGCAGGCTTCTGTAAGGACCTTGCCTCAGTTTTAAGAGCAACAGCACCTTCTTCTGTGCAGGAGGAGGACAGCAACGTCAGTGATATGCTGGTGAGCTGGCTCCGAGTGCTATTTGGCAGCAATTAAGGCCCAGTAAGCATTGGCTCTTGTCTCTGGCAGTATTCTCCGGTCCAGATTTTCATGTTTAAGAGACAAGAGGGTCCCCAGGCACCCTGACTCAAACCTCCCAGGTCCAGTTCCCCTTCCCTAGGTATGGAAGAGCAGGGAGCTTTCAGATTCCCTACCCTTCATGCCCGCCAGGTCCTAGAATTAAACTTGTAAAGATGAGAGTGTAAATTTGCTTGTGGAGAATAAAAAACAAAATAAATGTGTCGGGGAAGGGACATGTGAAGGTGCCTCAGGACAAGGGACAGCAACATATATAAAGCAATACTGACCACAAAAGCTAGGGCCGGTCCGCATCTGGGCGCCTGACCCAACTTCCCATTCACTTACAGCTGGGAGCTTTAGGTTTTACAACCTTGTTAATTTGATGAGCAGAAAGTTATTTCTTGATGTTCTATTTTATTTATTTTTGTTTTAGTTAAATCTTTATTTTCTCCATTTTAATTTTTATCGGTACGTGTTTGCAGTCCATAATGGTTTTCCGTCTTTATGGGAAGTTGGTACATGGCCATAACACATCCTAATTCTGCTTTTGTCCCCTGCATTTTCACTTGTGATACTGCATATCTTCTTCAGATGCATGTCCCGCTTGTGAATCGTCTGTGTCTGTTCATTTTCCCTAATGGATTGTGGTAGTTTTATAAAAATAAATTACAGTAGTTTTTTCTATATTAAGAACATTAACTGAGTCATATTTATGCCAAGTATTCTCCCAGATTGCAGTTTAAAAACATTGTCTTTGATACTTCCTCTATAAAGTAAGTATTAACTTATATGTTGTCAATTCTATTTTTTTTTTTTTTTGTCTTTTTGAGATAGGGTCTTGCTATGCAGTTCAGGCTGGACTTGAGCTCACTTTGTAGGCCAGGCTGGTCTCAAACTTGCAACGATCCTCCTGCCTCAGCCTCCTGAGTGCTGGGATTACAGATGTATGCCACCACACCCAGCTATCTTTTCTCTTAGTGATTTCCAGATGA